CGTCCGGGAACCGAGGTTTCCAGATATTTGAAGTCCGTATAAGCAGGGCATGTAGATATTTGTGACTTAAGGCTTACTGATGAATTTACGCCAATTTGACTCTGAATTGGTCCCAATAAGCGCCCACCCCTTCTGTCTTTATTTTAAGCGCCCTGGGCGTTTATTGGGTCGAATACGGTATACCTTTATATTGTATAAGAGGGTCTATATTTACTAGCGGGAGACATAACAAAAGTAAATAGTTTTATGTTCAATTTATTTCTTAGACCGGCGGCTTTTCAGCAGGGGCGGTGGGCCTGTGAAACAAAAATAAAAAATGTGTGGCCTTATCATCCATTCACTGGACTGGACTTGAAATGGTGTATTATGATATGTATCACAAGAATGGAGTTTCCAGGTGTTGTATGATAACTGGTGGATCTTTTTTCAGCCCTGTTTTGATCCAATAGACTCATGCTATAACAAACACAAAAAACAGTTGTGATATTGACTTGAATATCTTCAGTATTAACTGTCCACTTCATTTCTTTTAACAACTAGTTACCGTATTCGACGAAATAAGTGCCCCGCTCTAATAAGCGCCCACGGCGATATTCGCTAATATATTGGCAAGTGAACAATCCCAATTAGCACCCTTTCCGATTGATCAATGTACACAAGACTTATTTATTCGTGTATAATATGCACTCGTGTGTTATAGGCACCCTTAATTATGGGCAATTTAATTCTGGAAATATATGTCGTGTATAATACGCACAGACTTTTCTTTTGTATCATTTCAGGCTGTCAGGATCAACAACAAAATTTACAATCTTTCAACTCTGTTTTTTTTCTCTCACCAAAATTATATTCTAATAAGAGCCCCCTACTTCTAATTTTGAGAGCGCCCTGGGCGCCTATTACGTCGAATACTGTATCTGCAATATGAAACCCAGATATATTCCAGCTCTATTCACAGTTAGAATCTATTCAGATATTCTATACATTAATTCAACACAACAATATAACAAACTTAACAAAATATCAATGTCGTTTTGTTAGTGCAACAGTTGATTTCCATTGCACTTGCATATTAATACACATATTGGTGACGTAATAATGATACTAGATAAATTATCAACACCTCCACTCCCTACATATACTTAGACATGACTTTATTCTAATTGGTTAACACATTTTGCCTAAAATAATGGAAAGTAGAAATAAAATAATAACTATGAAGCCCTTTTTTTCTATTCTGCTGGATGCAAACTGGTTGTTCACCACTAAAATAATTTCAAACCAGGGTTCTTCACACAGTTTTATGAATCAAAACCTAAAGAACATCTGTCCTGCACTAGGTGTGTTGGTAGTAAGAATAAGTGCCCTGAACTTATTACATCCTAGGGCACGGATCAAGTTAACTACGGTACACCATATTATGCCATACTCACGCATGGAACGTCCATTATGTTTACATGGCGACTACACAAGAACGTACATGTTATTTCTTAATGAGGAGTCACTGCCCCGAGTCATTGACAAGGGAAATCTACACCCTAGTTTAGAGCTGCCACTATCTTGTGGGAGTGTATCATATTGATATAACAAGGGTTGACTCTTCTTTCACAAAGCCAAATGTCAATGAAATCACTGTCATTGTTAAACTCGATGTTTCTGTTTTAAAGGCAAATTTAATGATGATCAGGGGAAAGATCTATTTCATCAAGATCTCATCCCAACAGACTGTAAGTGAGTGAGTTGTGTTTATCGCTGCTTTAAACAATATTTCAGTTATATCATGGTGTGTCAGCGTGATGAGGGTAGAAAGCCCGAATGGTGCAGGTCTCAGACATTTACCACTTTGGTGAAACCCACAAGCACGGATATGGTGTTGATAAACCAAAAAACATAATTTGGGTGAACTAGGATTCAAACCCACAAATATAGCTTCCTAGCCTGCCTCAAGGACAACTCTGTACCGTGAAATGCAGTGTTTTAGACAACTGGGCCACCCATGCCCCAGACTATGACAAAGACTTCAAAGGTCAAAGGTCATTACCTTTAAATGTATTACATCATGTACAATGTGCCTCAGTCACATAACATAGAGTTGTGCTTCCCACAACAAAAGTAGTTCTATGGAAAATACAATTTCTCTTTTAAAAGGAATAAAGACAAATAGGTAACAAACATATAATATACATTATACAAAAGCTGATATTAGAAAATAGTTTGTATGAAAGCTCATAAAAATATTTTCTTTACAAAACAGCTCCTAAATAGTTGTAACAAGTGAATAGATAAGGTTGCCTACCCCCTTGCATCCCGAGTCTGCCAACCATTTGGACCCCTTCACATCAAAGATGATAACCACATTTGGAGTAGTAACATATACTACTCAAATAAAGTAGAGCACCGGATTCTTTCCTATTAGGGACTGGTCATGTATTATAGGAGAGTGGGCCAGTGAAATTAAGGGGGAATGAGTTGGGGGAGCCCAAAGTTATCACAATTAAATTTAAGAGTGAGTGAGTATGGTTTTATACTGCTTTTAGCAATATTCCAGCAATATCACGGCAGGGGACACCAGAAATGGGCTTCACACATTGTACCCATGTCGGGAATTGACCCTGGGTCTTCGGCGTGACGAGCGAACACTTTAACCACTAGGCTAACTGACCGCCCCACAAAATTTAAGAAGTGGGGCATAAAAAAAATGGCACTTCTATTTTTTCACTTAAAAAATGATAAATTTGATCATTATGAGGGACTGTCATGAAAAAATGTTACATAAAGTGTGTGTGTGTGTGTAGAAATATGCAAAATATGTACAGAAAAGTTTCTAGTTTTCATAAAACATTCAGTTGCATCTGACATACCCCATGTCTGCTAACCAAAAGTGGGCAGGCAACCTCATAAGTGTTTTAAAGACAGTGTTTCCCAAGCAGTTAACCGACACACACACACACACACACAGAGCTAGGCACATCACATATGACGTGTACGGTATGTATAACATCTAGACCGCAGACTACTCCAGCACATGGGGATAATATCTAATATCACGAGGGACGATGCTGTCCTTACTTCATCCCCTACGAAGCTCAAAGTTAATAGTCGGTTGTCATAGTGACAACAGACATCCACATATTCTCTTCACAGCTAAATCAGCGCCTCCTTGTCTAACGCCTCAAGGTCAGTGTAGACTAGAGGATCTGTTCCTGTGTATTGAGATCATAACTATGAGTAATTTTTTAGGAATAGTTCCACAATTTTTAAATCAAACCTTTTTAGTCTGAACCTCAAAGACCAGCCATGTAACCAAGGCAGCATATATCTACAGTAAACTACGTTTATAACGAACACGCTAATAACGAACTGACCAATATAACACTTATTTTTTAGCCATATGTTGTATATATGCTTATAACGAACTGCTGTTATTACGACCTAAAATTAGTGGTCCCTTTGAGTCGGTTACAGTCGTAGTTTACTGTATTTAATATCTAACTTGAAAAATGCCATCAGTGTCTTATCTCCAGTATAAATCTCAAAGTACCACTCTGTGTTGATATTTAACCAATATTTCCTGATGAAAGGAGTGAATCCACCAAATAGCATCTGGATCCTGGAGATTAACAATAATGCCCTTCCCTGCACAAACTATATTTCAGTTGCCAGGTGATCATTTATAGCAAGTGTCAAGATGAACTCCTATAGAGTGTATAGTTGTTATAACAGGAAATCTTTCCAGAGGTCAAGTGAGTGAGTGAGTTTAATGATGCTTTGAACAGTATTTCAGTTACATCAGATCATGTTAGCATACGTGGGAGGAAAGCAGAAGTCATGAAAGCATGGGTATGGTGCTGACAAACCAAGAACAATAATAACAGCAATTCTGAGATTAGAAACACAATCATAGGATCAGGTCACACCTAAGGGAGGCAACTCTATGCAGCGAATATTGGCAACTTTGACAACAGGGCCACCCGAGCCCCTAAACTTGACTAGAAGAGTACAGAGATATTTCAGAAAAACAGTAAAAATCATGAGCAGATCTAGCATTATTTAAAGGGATGGGTCCAAAATATCAAAATCCTTTCTCAAATAATTTTACTGCCTACAACATACTACATTTGGTTTGCAGAAGGGGAGGGGGGTCCGGACCCCTGGACCACGCTCTGGATCACCAAGTGATAGAGGAATAACACCTTGACAACAATCTGACAGCATCACAGGTCATGGACGTTTGCTACTTAATGTTAATTTGTTTAACACCGCACTCAGTAATATTCCAGTTATATCATGGCAGCCCGTATATAATCAAGTCTGAACCAGACAATCTAGTGATTGATATTAGGAGAAAAGGTCCAGGGGAGTCAAGGTACCATGACACCAAGTCACCGAGTCTGACCGCCTGATTCATTAGGCCGCCCCATGCTTGCTGCAAAAGGCGACTGTCGTAAGAGGCGACTAACGGGATCAGGTGGTCAGACTCGCTGACCATTGATCCCAAATGCGTGGATCGATGCTCATGATATTAATCACTGAACTGTCTGGACCAGACTAGATTATTTACAGACCGCCGTCATATAGCTGGAATATTGCTAAGTGCGGCATTAAACAACCAAACAACCAACCAACCATCAGGCCGCCTCTTATGACCAGCAGGGGTGCAGTGGAGCAATTCTAACCCCTCTATCCCCACGAGATTTCTACTTGAATGAAATCCACAAGGAATGGTATGGAGCTGCTGCACCAAGCATCATTATGAAGGCAAGTATGGGACGGGAACCAAAGCAAGGGAGACAACTCTGCACCAAGCATCATTATGAAGGCAAGCATGGGACGGGAACCAAAGCAAGGGAGACAACTCTGCACCAAGTGGTGTACATGCAGTTATGTCACTGGTTGGTTGGTTGGTTGGTTGGTTGGTTGGTTTGTTGTTTAACGCCGCACTCAGCAATATTCCAGCTATATGACGGCGGTCTGTAAATAATCGAGTCTTGACCTGACAATCCAGTGATTGATGTCATGGGCATCGATCCACGCAATTGGGATCGATGACATGCATCAACCAAGTCAGCGAGCCTGACCACCCAATCCCGTTAGTCGCCTTTTACGACAAGCATAGTTGCCTTAGTCACTGGTAGGTAATTATTGTTGGTTCTCCAGAATATCTGCAAACAATTAACAAATATCACAAGACAGAGTCTGACAATCAATATCATCAACAGACACAACAATTATTATCACAGTTGTTTGTGTTTAACGTCTCCCGAGACAAGTAAATTGTGCTCAGGACAAGCCAAAAATGATGATAGCCCTCACTGACCAGTAACATTTGCGGGCTATAATTCTGAACCAGTTCTCAAGGCTTCAAATTTAACTACAAATTGGAACTGAATAAATCTGACAGAGTAAACATGTCTGTCTCCTTCAAGTAGGACCAGCTACAAACAAAGAAAATAAAGTTTCTACGAGTCTTACAAGAAACAAAATGGCTGCTCCAACATAAACCATCAACAGCAGGGTACACCTGTCTATATCGCCCTCTCCATGTAATTCATGTGCCATACATTTAGGAAACAGCTGAATTGCAATTTCACAGCTACAATTGTGAACATATGGGCTATTTTTGGTCAACAGTTATTTAAGAGTTCTTGTCAAAAGATCGATGAAGACGATTAAAAACTTAGTTAATTAAGTTTTTCTTAAATCTCCCCACCCCCTCCCTTCCCACTGCCCCAAAACAGAATTATAAACATACAGACAGCAATATTTCACGCAGGTTGCATAACAGGACAATTAATATTTTGTTTTGATTGTTGTTTTAACACTGCATACAGCAACATTTCAGCTTATGATGGCAGTCTGTAAATAATCAAGTGGACCAGACAATTCAGTGATTTATATTGTGAACAACGATCCATGTAATTGGGATGGATGACATACAGTCAACCAAGTCATGGAACCTGACCACCCGATCAATTTAGTCGCACTTACGACAAGCATGGGTTGCTGTGAACCTATATTCTTACATAAACGAAACTCATTACAAGATATTCAAAACATTATTCCATGAAGTATTATCAGTTTTCATAAAGAAAGCCCCTGGTCTCACAGCTAACAAAAACACTTCGATGACAAAATCCATATTAGCTTCACCGATCTTTTAACCCATAAGTAGATAGTACTAGGCACATAGAAAAATATCACAGGACCCTGAAGCTTGGACAAGTATGTTTCTGCATATCACTCGGTAATGCATAAAAGATCTTGTCACATACCACACACTTCAGTACAAATGCCCATAAACTGTCTTCTGGAATATCCAACTAATTGCACTTGGGTAAAGGTCAATCTCATTCAAACTAGATCTTCAACACAGATATGATACCTCTCAGCTTCAAGATCTGCGATCTTTGAATCAGCCAATCAGTACTGACCTACTAAATTCTCAGTACGAGTTAGTGAAGCATTCAGACCAGATTAACTGATATCTTGAAAACTAATTTAATCAGCGAGCTCTGGTTGCTAAAAATTACACCAAGGTTCTGTAGATCATTATGAAGAAATAATGGCGGCCGTGTTTAAAGTCAGACTTGTGTGGAATTGTGTATGCAAATGTTCCGAGACTCCACAGCTGGAATGGAAATATGCCCCAAGTTGTATGATATGTTATTCCACATACCCCTACCTACTGCAAATAAAGTCACACTTTTCAGAACCACCATAACTAGGATCATTGCTACCAAGTTTCAGCTCCACGGGCCTTGTAGTGGAAGTCGAAATGTAAACGCTGATGGACGGACAACTGGACGCCAGACGTGTCCATCACAAGCACATTTGACTTTAAATGTGAACTATAAAAGTAAAGCCACTATCATATTGTCTTGGATAATTAATACATCTTGCTGTGTTAGCGTCATGGGGCTGACATCCAAAATGGTGTACTGTCAAGGAATATGTGTGTTCTGTGGCATTTTTTTTTGTTTCACAAAGATTGAATTTTCTAAATCGAGGGGTGAAGAAATGAAGCTGTCATCTGATTTTTGATTGCAGAGTCAAAGTTCGCTCCGGGTTCACCTGACACAACCTCCTATGGAGGTGTCCTCAGATCTTCACACAAAGAGGTGAGTGAGTGAGTTGGGTTTAACGCCGCTTTTAACAATATTCCAGTTATATCACGGCGTGTCAGCTTAATGTGGGAGAAAAGCCCGAAGTGATGCAGGTCTCAGACGTTTGCCACTTCGGTGAAACCCACGAGCAAGGGTATGGTGCTGACAAACCTAGAAACATAATCGGGGCGAACCTTGATTCGAACCCACAATCATTCACACAGAGAGGTATCGTATCAGAGTGAAACATCTAATGTCTGAATAACGGCAAGAGGAAAAGTGAGTACATAATGTAACAAAAAGTATTCCATGAGTCAACACTAAACTTGCTAGGAACAAAAAGGAAAAACATTAAAGAAATAACTGATTACAATTATGCCGACGCATTATGCCAGAACAAAACAGACAATTATTAAAAAAATACATTCTTGTCCAAGCTATAAAGATAAAATAAAGCTAGGAAAATTGTATAGCCACCAATGTGCATGAACACAGAACAATAAAAAATAAACATTTCAGTCATCTGTAACATCACACACACAGAAAAACGCAGTCTCGCTTAATTCACTGCCAAGAAATTATGTAGCTCCAATTTGTTGAAACCATAAGACATACATCATATGCAGAGGTAAGGCTTGTGAATGTTCTTTTTCACCTTGTATAATATCATAGAAACTAAGTCAAGAATAATGTAACAGTATTCAGATTGATGTCAACAATTGTCATGATTTAGAAAGATGTATTCGACAGGGAATACATTGACAAAAGAATACAATACTTTTCTCTATAATAAATAGAGAAAAATCTACCAGAGCTGTCAGTTTTATCACAGGCAGGGCTAATCTGGGATTCAAATCCATGATCATAGGATCCTGTCATGTCTAAGGGAGACAACTCTGCGCAGAGAATTGCAACACCATAGACAACTGGGACACTGGTCCCATCTACTTCATTCGATAATGGATGGACTTGATTGCGATATGTCATTGTATATATGATATCGATACAAATTCATGAATACCAATAGTAAATTAATGATTTCCACAGAAATGTTTATATTTATTTAGATTACCATGGTAATAATAAGGCAGAAATTCTATTTATTGGATCAGCCTTGTTCATATTAAGGTGACTAATTGAAGGTCTAGATACACATACAGAATAACAATATTTTTAATTAATATCAAGATGTCGTGAGACTTGTGAATCTATATACTGACACAAAACTTTCCCATCAATGACAGCCCTCCTGGCTTGCACTGACGATGTATGAACAGTGTCACATGAGAGGAATCAATAGGCACAAGATATTATCGCACAGAATAAAAAAATAATAAATACTGTTAAAAAATTCCTGTCCTGTGAAAATTTGACTAATCTATAATGAATGATTCTTTCATTAGGACTATTACAAGGAAATCTGTCCACTGAAAAATAACCTTGTTTAATCCTGCACTGGCCATGGAATGAGATGACTCAATAAATGCACTGGTATGACCGATGGTTAGAACATAATCACAGCAAGTCAACCAAGCCCTATGTGATGTCCATGTTTAGCCTGTTAAACTGTGAGCTCACATCGCCACACACTGATTGGCTGTTGACAGAGTTGTCTTTTCCTGGCTTTCCCACCAAACACCAACAGGAAGGGCTCAGCATCCAACGAGTCCTGGAAATGAGGGCAAAGAGGGTTCAGAACTTATCTTGTCTCAAATACACAAATATGTAGTTTGATGCTGCTTCTTTCAACATTTTGCACACTTCTGGTGTGTGTGTGTGTGTGTGTGTATGTGTGTGGTGTGTGTGTGTGAGTATGTGTGTGCGTGGAGTGTGTGTGTGTGTGTGTGTGTGGTGTTTATGTGTGGCTGTCTGTTTGTGTGGCTGATTGTGCTAGTCAATGTTATAGTGTATGTTAGTGGTGTCTGGCGTGTGTGTGTGGTGTGTGTGTATAAGTTGTGGGAGTGTGGTGTGTGTGTGTGTGCGTGTGTGGAGTGTGTGTGTGTGTGTGTGTGTGTGTGGTGTTTATGTGTGGCTGTCTGTTTGTGTGGCTGATTGTGCTAGTCAATGTTATAGTGTATGTTAGTGGTGTCTGGCGTGTGTGTGGTGTGTGTGTATAAGTTGTGGGAGTGTGGTGTGTGTGTGTGAGTGTTTGTGTTGTGTGTGTATGGTGTGTGTACGTTGTGTGTACGTTGCGTGTACGTTGTGTGTTGGTGAGTGGTGTGTGTGTGAGTGTGTTGTGTGTGTTTATGTGTGTCTGTGTCTGTGTGTGTGGCTTATTGTGCTAGTGTGGCTTATTGTGCTAGTCCGGACTAGCACAATGTTATAGTGCTAACCCACTGAGATATCATGCCACATTTTACCATGAACACCCCACTCAGACACTGAGATACCATGCCACATTTTACCATGAACACCCCACTCAGACACTGAGATACCATGCCACATTTTACCATAAACACCCCACTCAGACACTGAGATACCATGCCACATTTTACCATAAACACCCCACTCAGACACTGAGATACCATGCCACATTTTACCATAAACACCCCACTCAGAAACTGAGATACCATGCCACATTTTACAGCAAATGGCTGGGACAAAAACAATTAATTTGTTATATCCGTCAGTATGTTATAAGCGTGTTCGGGTCTTCGGCATGACAAGCGAACGCTTAACCACTAGGCTACCCCACCACCCCTCCCAAGTAGGTAGTCTGGCTACTTAATTATCTATTCTAAACCTACTATAGACAGGTCCCTGGCTGTTATTGAGTTTTGTCATTTTGTGTTGGGAAGTATACTTAAGACTTGTTATAGTTGACAGGCATATCAAGATTGTGCTTTGTGCAACAGAGCTGTTCATACCTTTCCTTCTTCTTGAATAGAAGCTATCCTCTCTCCCGGATTGCTAGGTCGAAGGTCAAGGTTACTTCCTGTCTGAGTTGCCACAGTTACAAGAACTTTATTAAATCCTCCATCTTGACCTTGTACCTTGTACCTTGTACTAGCATTCTGAGAACTATTCACATCCGCACCTGAGCATAGAGCAGACCCTGAATCTCTTGACCTTGGACTACGGAAATCACCAGTGTCTGACAGGAAGGTGGTGCAGAGGTCGTGTCCCGACCTTGACCTCTGACCTTCAATTGAGCTGCCAATTTTTGGCATGTGAAACAATTCAAGTTCCATGCAGTCTTGCATTATCACCTGCGTGGATTCCTTGGTCAGGATGAAGGGATTGGGCACCTTGACAGGTGACAACTGTTCTTGTTCAATGTCTTCAATATACAAATCATCACAGTACTTGGAGTAGATAGCCTTCTTAGGAGGGTCTATGGTTGTATCACGGTTGGCCGGACTGGTGTGGGCCAGTGTCGAGGTCATCTGGGGATGGGTGGTTTGACAATTGGGTTGGGTGGTTTGATAACGATTTGGAATGGTTGGTGTCGTCAGGATGGTTTTGTGTGATTTCGAGCTGTCGACCTGCGAGCTTCCATGAAGAACAACAGCAGATTTCCTATCCCTGATTTCACTGCCTTGATTCTGGACATGAGGTTCCCTGACAAGGTCGTCAGCATGATGAGTATGTACAACAGAAGATTGTTCTTTGGCATTAAGGGGTTTGGCCGTTGAGTCAGAGCACTTTTTACTTACAGGAGCATGAGATTCATCTGCAGTACAGTCCACTACATTGTCAATTCCAATAGATTCGTTCGAATCTCGAGACACAAATCTCAGCAAGGGTCGTTTGTCGTCACCTGTCATGACCTGTGACCTCGGAGCATGATCATGACCTCTGACCTTGGTCATCTCTGCACTATTTACACTACTGAACTCTAGGGAGAGAATATCACAGTTTCTGCTGGCAGACTTCGCAGGGTACACCCATGACGTCTGTGGAGTGTCTGTTGACGCTGAAGGGCTTGTTCGTGGACGACCGGCATTGATTACACTTGCATTAGGGTTTGGGCTCTGTAATACTGATTCAGAGAAACATCTGGCAGAGTTATCTGCCCCTGCTTCTTGACTGTTGCTACTGGTTACACACACTGTTGCATGCTGGGAACTAGGTAGTGGATGATGAGGGCTGCTTGGGAAAGCAATCTTTCTCCAAACACTTGAATCTGTGGACAGTATCAGTGATATGATCACATATATTGAATGATATGAACTATAATCTATATACTACCATGACTCAACTTTGATTGGTCAAACAGAGGTTTCAAATCACAGCAACCACCTCTAAATTAAACAGCTGATTTGATGCATTGACAGTTCTCCTTCACTAATATTGATAGAAAAGTACTACTTCGTAATCATGATCTGTAGGAATATTTGAGACAAAGAGATGTACAACTGTAGGTTATCAATGCAGAGTTACTGCTACTACAATTTATCATCCAAAACTGGCACCCACAGGAGATATGGCTTGGGCGAGATCAAGAGATATCTACATTGTAGATATCACTGCAATGAAATTGCATCACAATGATTTGCAGCCCATTGTGAAGTCACTGGTAACCATGACATCACAATCAAATGACATCACTAATGGCCCTGCTACTGAAGCTGTTAGCAGTACTTTTTACACTGAAGACACTGCTAGTTACTGTCTACAAACTGAAAAAGTTGGAAGAATGATGATGGATGATAAATAAAATCTCATCCTTGTGTCTTTTGATATCAAATATATCAACACTCGTTGATATATTTGATATCAAAAGACACTCGGGTGAGATTCTCTATGTATACAAGGTATGTGTGCAAATACATTTTGAGCAGGAAACATGATAGAAAACGACTAAGTGAGAGTAAATCAGGGACAACAGGGAGCTTGATATTTGACACTCATCTGTGAAGTGATGTCATAATAGTGATACGTGGTTAAAAACTAGCTACACTTTCACAAAAAAAGTCTCCGTGACTGAAGATGCCGGAAGTTGTTTACAGACATCATGACTTACTGAAGCAGAAGAGCCAGACGTCACTGTACATCTGTCCCTGGTTCTCTCCACCCACCAGCACCATGCTGTCCTTCACCTGCAACAACGTCACATACAGGCGTAATAGGAACATCACATACCATCACAATAGCAACATTGCGTACCATCACAATAGCAACATTGCATACTGTCACAATAGCTACATCGCATACCATCACAATAGCAACATTGCGTACCATCACAATAGCAACATTGCATACCGTCACAATAGCAACATTGCATACCATCACAATAGCAACATCGCATATCCTCATAATTACAACATTGCATACCATCATAACGGCAACGTCACATACCGTAATGACAACAACACAAACTGTACTAATAATAACATCGCACACTGGCATAATAGCAATATTGCATAACATAATGAGCACCATAATGTCGCATTCAAGATTATTGCACTTACACAGTGACATGTGAGATATATGCAAGCCCACTGAGATACCATGTCTCAGTTTCAACATGGATACCCCACTCAGACACAGTACACTGACTCCGAGCTGACCAGTCCTAGTTTTAGCCCTTAATGCCGAGAGATAGGCAGGGTAACAAGAACCATCTTGTCATGTCCTTTGGTATGGCGTGGCCGGGGAATCAAACCACCCACCTTCCACTCTGAGCGGACGACCTATCCGCTACACCACAGAGGTGGTCCTGTAACCATGGTAACAGATTCTGGTGACAAGGTGAGTCATACTTACAACGTCGGCGGAGTGCCCCGTCATGGGAGGGGGGCCTTGCACTGTCTTCATCCTCTGCCACCTCTGACTCACTGGAAAACATAGCTACCATGTACAAACACAGCCTACATCCACTCTCTCCATCACAATGTACAAACACAGCCAACATCCACTCTCTCCATCACAATGTACAAACACAGCCAACATCCACTCTCTCCATCACAATGTACAAACACAGCCAACATCCACTCTCTCCATCACAATGTACAAACACAGCCAACATCCACTCTCTCCATCACAATGTACAAACACAGCCAACATCCACTCTCTCCATCACAATGTACAAACACAGCCAACATCCACTCTCTCCATCACAATGTTACAATTACTTCAGTCTGAACCAGTATTAGTTTCTTACCACTAGTATTCGGCTATAGTGTGGACTACAAATCCAAACCAAGGTGGAGAGGGCAGTATGGACCAACATGCACCTTAGTATGGACCACTGGTCTGAACCAGAAATTAGCCAGTACAAACTAGTATGCAACTAGTACATGTGGTAGGGCGGTCGGGTAGCCTAGTGGTTAAAGCGTTCGCTCGTCACGCCGAAGACCCGGGTTCGATTCCAGACATGTGTACAATTTGTGAAACCCATTTCTGGTGTCCCTCGCCATGATATTGCTGGAATATTGCTAAAAGCGGCATAAAACCATACTCACTCACTAGTACATGTAGTATGAAGCAGTAATTCAGCTAGTATGAACCAGTATTCAGCTAGTATGAACCAGTATTCAACTTGTATGAACCAGTATTTTGCTAAAATGAACAACTATTCAACTGTGATGAACCAGTATTCAGCTAGTATGAACCAGTATTCAGCTCGTATGAACCAGTATTCAGCTAGTATGAACTAGTATTCAGCTAGCATGAACCAGTATTCAGCTCGCATGAACTAGTATTCAGCTAGCATGAACCAGTATTCAGCTAGCATGAACCAGTATTCAGTTAGTATGAACTAGTATTCAGCTAGTATGAACCAGTATTCAGCTAGCATGAACCAGTATTCAGCTAGCATGAACTAGTATTCAGCTAGTATGAACTAGTATTCAGCTAGCATGAACCAGTATTCAGCTAGCATGAACCAGTATTCAGCTCGCATGAACTAGTATTCAGCTATTATGAAGAAGTATTCAGCTAGCATGAACTAGTATCCAGCTCGCATGAACTAGTATTCAGCTAGCATGAACCAGTATTCAGCTAGCATGAACTAGTATTCAGCTCGCATGAACTAGTATCCAGCTAGCATGAACCAGTATTCAGCTAGCATGAACCAGTATACAGCTTGCATGAACTAGTATTCAGCTATTATGAAGAAGTATTCAGCTAGCATGAACCAGTATTCAGCTAGTATGAACCAGTATTCAGCTAGCATGAACCAGTATTTAACTCATATGAACCAATACTCAGCGGTTATGAACCAACACTCAGTCAACGCCTTCCCACTAAATACTGCAGCAAGTATTCTCACAGAAATGGTAGCTCCACAGGTCTGCTTTGAGAGTGAGGTCACACAGCCCCCCAAACGTCCACATGCTGTTGCCGTGCATTATGCTGCTGTGGCCGTGACGACCACCAGGTGTCTCTGACGATGCTGGGGGAATCAGTTGCCAGTAGTCTTCATCTGTCAAAAACAGGAAATAGGTAGGTTTGAAGTCTTCTAACACACTACATAAGACTAGAGAGTAGATTTTATTTTGTTATTTAATACTAGATAAAAAACAACAAAAATGGCACAAGGAGTGCCACGAAGGAGGGAATATCACAATCACTGCCTGTAGGAATAGACACATACAAATAGAGTTAGTGAGTGAGTATGGTTTTACGCCGCTTTTAGCAATATTCCAGCAATATCACGGCGAAGGACACCAGAAATGGGCTTCACAAATTGTACCCATGTCGGGAATCGAACCCAGGTCTTCGGTGTGACGAGCTAACGCTTTAACCACTAGGCTACCCGACCGCCCCTATACAAATAGAGAATTGGAGCAAATAATTAATGCTTTATATAACCGACATTTCTATTCGTGTGAGAACAACACTCAAAGTTCAGAGTGTCAACCCACAAACTATATCACTCTTCTGGACTCGCCATAGTCTCCTGGTAGACCCTGGTTTGTCTGTTCGTTGTACAACGCAACACTCTGCAAAATTCCAACTTCTTGACGATGGTCTGTGAATAATAAGAGTCTAGACCACACAAGCTAGGACTGCATGAGCATAGATACCATGACATGCATCAACCAGGTCAGCAAGTCTGCCAACACAGTCACCTCTTACCACAAGCATGGGGTGCTGAAGACCAATTCCAACCTTGATTGTCATGGGTGAGACCCAGGTAAATCCCTGAAAAGATGGTGATCAGTTCTCCACCTACCTGCATTGTACGCCCACAGTTCACTGCTGGACCCCCTCAGATCCACGAAGCCTCCATATATGTACATAATCCCACAATGCATCACTGCGGAGTGGTCCCTTCGACTGGTTGGCTGTTGAACGTTCACCTCAGTGCAGGGCTTGTGAACAAACTGCTGATCTATATACACAAATAACAGCATTGTCACAGCGACATCCTACAGGCATGACCCCAATGCACATACAACATACAAAGTGATTTCTGTAGCGTTCATCAGTTTTCCCATTCCACCACAATTGTACCCGTCTGCTTCATAGTTTTGATCAAGCATTTGTTTCACTGTATATTTGTTGTTAACGCTGCACTCAGCAATATTCCAGCTATATGATGGCAGCCTGTAAATAATCTAGCCTGGGCCAGACAATCCAGTGATTGATATTGTGAGCAACAAACCATGAGGTACAATGACATGCAATAAACCAAGTTACCGAACCTGGAGTCCGTTCCACAAAGCGATCGTACCGCTAAGGTGACCGTAACTCCCATACTTTAACATAGACTTACGACTGTGGTAGTGCTAAGATCACTTTGTGGAACAGGAACCTCACCATCTCATCCATTCAAACGCCACTAACGACCAGCATAGGGTGCTAACCCGAAATCCTCATGGGGTTGATCAAGAAAAGATCACAAACAAGTTTCATTTTAAATGTGTCCTGCACATTAACACACTGTTAATGGTAACATCGCTAGTGAATTGTCCGGAATATCATATTTCCAGATTAACGAATACTATGTACATTATAATGACCCTACAACAATACAGATCTACATTCCAATAATAACAGTTCATTAGACAGGGTTCTTGAATGACGGGTTTCAGACCGTCACTATACACCTGGCGAAAATCCACTAACTCTGAACGATTAAGAAAACTGTTACATGTTACAATGTTCATTATAATTACAGATGATCATGTGTGACAATATGATAAATTAATGTTGAGTAAAATATATTACCTATGTTAAAAATCCACAATGGTGGATCGGTCCCTGTGCTGAATTCTCCACCAAATATCAACAGCTTCCTCTGAAACATGGCAGACAATGGCTTAAAGACATGGTACATTCTCATTCCTCCATAACATCACAGGGATGTATCTGGACCATGGGCTCCTTCAACAACACGATCTAACACTGTCGTAACTCACATACGTTAACACAGACTTACGACAGCTGGAGTGCTCAGATCGCTTTGTGGAACAGACCCTGTTCAGAGGCCATTATTTCCGCCCCCTCCATCATCCACACTATCAATAACCATGGCAACACCTCTATTATCAAGATTATCCTGAATAACAATACGCTTGTCGTCCATCGCATGTTCAGGCTGGTACGCCACCAAATCAGGCGTTTATTGTTACAACGTACAATTAACGAATTTGTTCCCACTCATTTTTTATCACTCATCTTTGCGCATGCCATTTGCCTTTCCCAATCTACACATGATAATTTCCGATTTTTGTATTGCCATTTATTCGTTCTCACCTTTTGAATTACTGGTAGTGATTATTTTGGTCTGTATAACCAAGGTTTTCGGTTACGGCATATGTCACAAACAAACGTGATCGCAGCTCACACATTCGTACAAAATGGGGACTAAAAAACTTTTCCTCTGTCAATTTCTACAGATGAATTTTCATTCCCCCTCCGGAATATTTCTACATGGGACTTATTTTTCTCTCACATACACATGCAGCTTTTGAGTCTGACTGACCTTGTGAGAGACGATGGTGTGGCCCTGAAGATGTGGCAGTGATGTTCCCCGATACGTCAGACGTTCCCAGGTGCCACTTCCTGTAAACAAGACACTGTAGTTTAGCTGTTTTACATCCCAGTCAGTAAGATACCAGTTATACCATGAAAGCCTGTAAATAATCAAGTCTGGACCAGACAAACCAATTGGTTTATTTCATGGGCAGCAGAGCTCGAGTTAGCTACATAAAACATGCACCAGTGCAACCTATTGTTGAAAAGTGTAACCTCATATCTATGTCTACAAGCACCAAGTGGATGGAAAAGAATCAAATTTGTGTCTGACAAATCCTTACTTGTTCACACATCAACGATCTTTGAACACACATGATATAAGGGTAACGCTATTTTTCAGGGCATTATCATTTGCAGAAGCCTGAGGTCTTCTATTAACTGCCCAACGAAGGAGAAAGACCGAGTAATAAACGACCTGTAATAACGAGTTACCGTTATTATAGCTAAAATGGATGGAATTTGTTATCAAACTAAAAGAAACAACAATATCGGTTTTGAAACATTTACTGCAATCAACACAAATGCCACTGACCCACCTTTACAAATATGGAAACGTCATAGAACAAACCAGATGACGTCACTATTCAAAACCTGATTTACCTGTGAGAGAGATGCAGTTCACCTACCTATGTCTGGTTTACCTGTCAGAGAGATGCAGTTCACCTACCTATGTCTGGTTTACCTGTCAGAGAGATGCAGTTCACCTACCTATGTGGTACCGCCAGAAATCCTTTAGAGGTAGTGTGTTGTCTTTCCCACTGCAGATATAGACATGGCCGCCATGGATGCACGCCGCATGTTTCAGTCTGGCTCGAGGACAGCCATTGCATGCTGGGATTGCCGGGATCTCCCTCCATGAACAGGAGAAGTCCTGTCTTGTGTTGACATGATCATTCGGGGTGTTTATTTTCATTGTATGTGGCAGGTCTTGGTGCGGAGCATATTGAACACCTAGGAAACAAGTGAAAGATGTGTCAGGGACGGATCATTAGGGCATTTATTATGGGGGTTGGGCTGGTGGGATTGGTCTTGGGACTGTATCCATCTTCCTGAGGCAAGAGAGTTAACTGACTTTAAAAGTCCAGTTTCCACCCTTGCTGAACTAGCTAATCAAAATCGCGCACCGAAATCAAAATCCGGTTCGTAAACTGTTGTGCAGATTTTGATCGATTGCAGGATTTGCAAAGCATGTGCACCGCCAACTCGTTGTCAGCAGATATTTTCCAAATCCTTTCATGTTTTTAATCAAGGCGCTCACATGATTTGATGCATTTCGCGATGTAAGACCTGTTTTATCACAATATAGATCTTGATTATTGATCAGATCGTCCTGACTGGGCGCCACCATTTTGTGTGAAGAAAACGCAAGTGATACGAGAGGTGGAATCTGATTGGTCCACAGGAGAGGTTTAGAAGGGACATAATTGGTAATAGCCACTGGTGGCGCAACGATCGAGCCCAGTAATTCCAGCCAAGTTCGCCAAGGGTGGAAACTGGACTTTTAAAGTCAGTTAACTCTCTTGCCTCGGGAAGATGGACTGTATCATGTTTTGCTGACACCTTAAGTTTCTTTTCATGACACCCCCTTATCTATACATATGCTATAGTAATTGACAAGTCCCTAGATAATGTTCAAATAAATAAAAAAAACATCATTTGAAAAAAAAAAACAGAACTGTTTCCAATTTTCATGCCCATCTCCATGTAGTGACAAATTTTGGTGACCCCCTCCACCACCCTGCCACCCCTGCCCAGATATCTAGGAATGTATTTTCTGTATAAAGTCTTAATTCTCATGCCATGGACAAATCAAAGTTTTACAATGATCATACATATCTTCAGTTTCAGTTACATGGGTCTTGTGGTTGCAGAAAACAGTTCCAAATGATTTCAAAGTTTTGAATTTCAAAACAGAAATTAAATCAAATCAAATTTTCATTTTAAAAGCATGAACTGATGTGAGTCCCATTGCCATTGTACACACAATATCAACATGTCAGCTTCTCTGGCCTTCCGGCTTCTGAGCTTCTTACACAATTTGCACCAACTTCTAGTGCTAGGACAAAACACTGCATCGGTAGATCATGATTTTTCACTTCTTAATACAAATATATCTAGCACAGTTGCAAACTAAGTAAAAAAATATTGATTCTTACCTCTTAATGTTTTCTTTAATAAATGATACACTTAACACTAATTAGTAGTGAAAATTGATAGTGAAAATGAAAATATTTTCATCCATTGTGCCATACTTGACACTGCCAACTGTAAATCATCAGTGTGCCAGGTATTCGCCCACCCTGTCCATGAAAAGGATGGCACCACAGAAAAGAGCACTTGCAAATACATGTATCATGATATGTATGGGACTGTGAGTAAGGTATCGTGATTAATATCGGATCGCACAGTCGGTATAACGTCCCAGCCCTACCAATTTCCTCATCGCTTCATCCAACAAGTTGGTTGGTTGGTTGGTTTGTTGTTTAACGCCGCACTCAGCAATATTCGAGCTATATGACGGCCGTCTGTAAATAATCGAGTCTGGACCAGACAATCCAGTGATTAACATCATGAGCATCGATCCACACAATTGGGATCGATGACATGCATCAACCAAGTCAGCGAGTCTGACCACCCGATCCCTTTAGTCACCTTTTACGACAAGCATAGTCACCTTTTACAACAAGCATGGGTTGCTGAAGACCTATTCTACCCCGGAATCTTCACGGGTCCATCCAACAAGTAGAAAGTTAAAGAACGAACTGACACATGAACAATGTGTCAGGAAATCTTTGTACTTGGGTCCCGGTGGGCTGACTATTTTGAGTACTGTCATATTGCATTCACTGCACAACAGTGTTACTGTCCTACATCAGAACTCCTTCAACAACCATGTTATCAAGTCAATACATCCGCATCATCAAGGCAAAACAGTACTTCATTTACAAATAAACGTCAGGTAACATTCATGGCAAAAGCAAAAAAGAGTAGCAGGCAACATGGTTAAACAATGACCTCACTGCATAGTTACTTCCTTGTATGATGTCGCAACACTATGACATCATCAGTGAGTGCACTAGTAAGTAGGGTATAACACCACTTTTAACATTATTCCAGTTATTTCACAGCGTGTCAGCTTGATGTGGAAGAAGTCCAAATGATGTAGGTCTCAGATGTTACCACTTTGCTCAAACCTACGAAGACGGGTATGGTTCTGACATGAGCACAATAACATATAGCAATCATTATGTTTCCTTACAGATTAAATTATTATAAACAATTAAATACTCTTATTGAATGAATTATAACTTTATGAAAAACTGACGGTGAGCGATTAGCCCATATGACTGGAGAGTAAAGCATGAATTTGACATGGTAGCAAATGAATAAAAGAATGCACATTAACACCCTTCCTTCTGTTTTCAATTGGAAAACTGGACTAAATCATCTACATTTTGATAATACTTACCTGAACAACGTTAACAAGAACAGCAGATATCATTACATTGAAGAGTTCATACAATTAATCCCCTGCACTGCACACCGAACGAGAGGCAGTCAGGTATAGAGTCATTACGACACAGAGGTGAAGCAGCAATTGTTTTGGTTACGAAATCTCAAAACAAAGATGTCGTAACAAGCCAGTCCATCAAACTCTGTTGCAACACATGCAAACAAAGCACCAGTCAATCAATCTCTATTTTTGCACTGGAGAGATCACAGGTCTATGGAATATAGATATTATATCAGTGGAATAGAGTCTATAAACATCATGGCATGATAAATGAACATTGACAACCGTTTGCAAAAAATCAAATTTAAAGAAACTTGGGTAGACAAAGTAATATTGGGATATCATATTTTCTTTATTTTATTGATAAAGACTGCCTGTACTTGTCCAGATCTAATGCCATTTTTTGTAATTCTGGGCCTCGTTCTTCAAAGCTATCTTAGCGCTAAGGTGATCGTAAGTGCCATACTTTAACATAGGCTTACGATCATCATAGCGCTTTGAGGAACGGGGTCCAGCAGTTTAACATGGATACGCCACACACATGGACACAGTATATTGACTCCAAGGAGACCAGTCCTTGTTTTATCCCCATTATGCTGAGTGCCAGGCAGGGTGACAATAAGTACCATATTTTAATGTATTTTGGTGTCAGTGACGCAGCCGGGGATCAGGACCTGCTGCTCTCCAGGCAGACGCTCCATCCACTTAAGGATTGAAGTTGCATTTGATGACATTCATCAGCTGATGAAGACAGTACCTCACGGGAGCAAATTCCATGATGTGCAAGCGGTGATATTGACAGATATATAAATCATAACAAAACAATCCATTAAACATCAAACTTTAATTATTCAAAGCGAACTATATCAACGCGGAGAACCGTGACGTCATCCGCCCCAAACATTCCATTTGGAGTGACATCCCTTGGTTTTACAAACAGCGGAAAATAGCGGCTACGGCAATGTCATTCACTTGAAATAAAAGTTGCACCAAGTAAAGTTAGCGTTGGAAAGAAATCCAGACCCGGCTGAAGCTGAAAATGGATTGATATTAACGTTCTGTGAACTTTGAGAGTGCGTTTGAGTCATAATATGGCTGCTGATGACGGGGGGGTTACCGCTTGAGGTGGCGCAGTTTGACTTTCTGAAGCAAAGCACAACAGTGTGGAGCTCAGTGATTTCTTTTCATAAGTCAAGCATTCTGTGTTATAGCTTGGAATGGACGCTTCATTTCGGAGACCCGACATATACGTGATCTGTCTGGCTTCAAAGCCTGCATCAGCCCTAGCCTGAATCAATGTCGCTCTCAGAGAGTGGGCTGAGTACCGTTTTGAACACTTGAATATTCGGAAACATCGGCCATGAAACCTTTAAAACCAGTTTTCCCTAATGATTATTTTTAGACATTGAGGAATTCCCCTAAAGTAGTTCTGAATGTCTCCACTCGATTGACAACGTAATCACGTGACATACTGACGTTCATCGGGAAACGAATGACAGACAGCTTGGTAGTGTTCACCAAGGTGAGGTCACCCGCTACTGTCAATATTAGACCATAGAGGTGGTCGCATTTGGTACTGGCTTGTGCCTTTAAAGCACATGTGATTTCAAAGTCAATGGAAGATGTGCAGAATCAGCATGTGACTGTTTTGTTAAATCGTTTTTATGCTCGAAGAGCACTGATGAGGCGATTGCATCATAAGTTGTAGTGGTAGCATTCGGTGTACATGGGCTTTTATGCATCCTGCATTAGGTTGTATACAACTCGACTCTAGCTCGTGGTAAAAAACCTAACGTGGGTGGCTTGTGGCATAAAACCTAATAAGTGACGCATAAAACCACATGTACCCCGAGTGATACTTCTACGAAATTATCTTACCGACATACAATAATCTGCCATTGTAAATGAATTAAAACAAATTCAAAATTGATAGACAACAACTGTTTCATTGAGTTGAGGTTAATTTGTGCTGTGTCACGTGACTTTCATTGACTCAGAAAGAGCGTGTGGCTTTTTGCTTAAAAGCAAGATATAAGGGATTTATTCTCCCGCTCAGAAATCCACATGCATCCTGTCTTTTTCGCGGCGGGGTATAAGAGATTTATTCTCCCACTCAGAAATGTATTTCCCTCCCAGGCCGGATACATAGTAATTAATAAAGATCATGTGAACCAATCAGATCTCAGATTCTGACATGGAGGTATGATAAAGTCAATTACACCACTTACAACAATAAACATAAAATCACAAACATTCAAAACTGTTCCACATCTTCCAATCATAATATGAAAATCTAAAACAGAACATAAATCAAGTAATATCTACCAAATCTATTTGCAATTTAGTTGCCAAAGAAACGTTGTAAACTAAGTAATCAAGGAGAAAATCCCAAAGTGAGTGATTTGGACTTTCATTGTATTCAATCACGAAAGTCTGATAGAGAGTCTTACTCTTAGATGTCCAAGTATTTAAGTATTAATAGGAACGTCCAGCCAAGTTGTTCCCATGATCAATACAATGCTAGGAATGAGTGATCAATGTTGCATTCATGGGAAACTCATTCTAAGTGAAAGACATGGTTTAGTTTAGCAAGTGACACATGTAAAACTTGCAAGGGTAAAACGGCAAGTTGTCGGCCATTTGAACATGTCTGATAATCTCCTGGCCAATATTTCAAAGTTTTGTGAACACATAAAATTTGCTGTTTCCTGTCATTAACCTAAATGTCTTGCACACCCGTGGGTGAGAAACCCATGTGAGATAACTGGTATTCCAACTTCACGTACCCAACAGCCAAGTCAAATGTCTTACTGTAGGGCTTTACCTTAACTTACATATGTTGTAGTCGAGGGGACCTCCAATAATTAATTTCAAGGCCCTTACATGAAATATGAGGGTCCTGGGGTAGTGAAATGGTGCAGTGTACTGTATTTGATAATTACTTTAATTACCATGATTACAGGACCTTAATACTTCCTGTCATAAATTTGATATAATGAATATTATTGTGTGTTACTCGAGACACAATTAATATTTTTTATGAATCAATTCTAAACATTTGTGAGTGAGTGGTTTTACGCCGCTTTTAGCAATATTTCAGCAATATCATGGCGGGGGACACCAGAAATGGGCTTCACACATTGTACCCATGTTGGGAATTGAACCTGGGTCTTCGGCGGGACGAGTGTACGCTTCAACCACTAGGCTACCCGACTGCCCTAAACATTTGTGAGTACTAGATGCACATTTCTGCATCATGTAAAAAACCTGTTACCGTCCAGTAAACTCTTCCTAGACTGATACCACATCCGTGCAGATCCCGGTTAAAATAGGTCTTCTGCAAACCATGCTTGTCGTAAAAGGCGACTATGCTTGTCGTAAGAGGCAACTAACGGGATCGGGTGGTCAGGCTCGCTGACTTGTTGATGCTTGTCATCGTATCCCAATTGCGTAGATAGATGCTCATGATGTCAATCACTGGATTGTCAGGTCCGGATTTGATTATTTACAGACTGCCATCATATAGCTGAAATATTGCCGAGTGTGGCGTTAAAAAACAAACAAACAAACAAACAAACAAACAAAATACAATGACACCAAAGGACTTGTCTAGACTAGCACCTCCTGCACGCCACCTACCCACAGTGTGAGACAGAACACTCCGGTGCATCCATCCACCCCAGAACAACCTGTCACTCCCGTGTCACCTGCACAGGTCCGGCAGCTGGCACGGCCTCAGTCATCATCACCGCGGTCAGACTTATCCACCACCATCAGCCAGGTGATGCAGACTCGGATGTATTGATCAAGTCAACCATGTGTCCGTCACCAGACAAAGAGCATGCAGATCATTCAAGCAGTTGTTCCCACCGGTTGTCGTGGAAACCCACAAACAAAGATACCCTACACATGACAAACAGGAGTTATTCAGACATCCACAGCCAGGAGAGAAGGTTTAGAGGCTGAATAAAACAACTGTTATAACGCCCTGTGTCTAAATGAAGGGAATAACTGATAGACCCCTGTGATGTATCAACTAATTAATGGCCGGGAGCACTCATGTTTCACTGCAATAATCAATTTACAGGCTCTGATCACCCAGAACGAACAAAGTGCTTAGTCATGATACGTGGTTATAATCATACCAGTAAATGGATAAATATCTGATTGTATTCTGATGTTTGACGTGTAACAAATGACAGGAAAAGTAATTAACTTTTCAATTACAAATCTCGTGATGGTCGATGCTAACATTGTTATCGAGTCAGGGATGTAGGTGAGAAGATGAGTATATGATGTATGCTGACATGCTCACTTGTGTATGTGTATATATCTGTTATTGTTGCCATGGGGACAGGCAAGAGGGGTGGGGCACAATCATTTCAATATGGCGGACATATTTGTCCAATTTTAGAAAGTCAAATAAATATTACATATTATTTTTTCTTGTGATTGAATCCTTCAATTATGTTAGTCATTGACATTGGACCTATGCACTTTCTCATGTAACTCACACAAAGTTTTACTCCAGAAACATGTGCTTGTCATAAATTGAGTGTCAGGCTCACTGACTTGGTTAATTGCATGTCACCGTATCCCAATTGCATGCATCAATGCGCAAGATGTCAATCACTGTATTGTCTGGCCCAAACTCAATTATGTACAGATGACCATCATATAGCTGGAATACTGCTGAGTGAAGTGTTAAGCTACAAATAAACAAATTTTACTCTAACTCCCATATTATATTAGGAGGCATATTAGGATTTGAATTCATGATCAGCAGATCCTGCCCATGTAAGGGACACAACAAAGTAGAAAAAATCCCTGGAACTACAGAGGTGGAGGAACAGACAGCCAAGAGAACCAGTATACAATAATTTCCACACAAAACATTCTAATATGAATGAATGACTAATAAACCACTGAAGGAAATCAAGAACAAACCAATTCATAATCATATCTACTGTTCTGCACATCACATAACAAGTTATCACCAGCTTTTTCACAAGAAAGTTCTATATAAATTCATAAAAATCTTGTACTGCAGATTTCATAGTGCTGGCCCACCATGTCGAAGTTTAACCTAAATGCCCCACTGAGATACAGTATACTGACTCTGAGCCAACCAGTCCTTGTTTAAGCACCTTTATGCCGAGCGCCAGGCAGGGTAACAACAAATACCATCTGTTAACGTCTTTTGGTGTATCGTGGCTGGGGATCGAACCCCGGACCTTCTGCTCTCCGGGTGGACGCTCCGTCCACAAGACCATGGAGGGGGTCCCAGGGTATTGATCATAACAGTATGAAAATATAATACACCAGGACTTGGACAATACACCAACTGTGCGATCTGATACGCATCACAATACCTTGCTCACGATACTTGCATGTGCTCTTATCTGCGGTGTGTAAGCCATCTTTTTCATAGACAGGATGGTGAAATACCTGGGCCCACTTGCACAAAGCTAAGACTATCGTAAGCCTATGTTAAAGTATGGGAGTTACAATCATCTTAGCACTAAGATTGCTTTGTGCAAGTGGGCCCTGGTATACTTACGATTTACAGTTGGCAGTGTCAAGTTAACAGCGTTAGAAACCAACAGTTTTCGTCCACCAGTCCTTATAATGATAACATATAGCAAAACCCTTAAAAATGGCAATTTTCTACTAGTCCTTATGATACCTTTACCATTGGACAGTTTGGCAAGGACTATAGGACTAGTGCCAACTTCTATCACTGAAGTATGGTGCAACGGATGAAAATATTTACATTTCACTACTCATTTTCACTATAAATCTGATGTAACATTTATTAAGGACTACATTTAAGGTAAGAATCAATACTTTTTACGAAGTGTGTGATAGTGATCGACACTTGTATCATGAAGTAAACAATCACAATCCACTGATGCATCAGTCTATCATCCCACTACTACAACAAACTGAGATGAAATGAATTTTACCGGTGTGTCCAAGATTATTGTGACGTGTGTGTGTGTGTGTGTGAGTGTGTGCGTGCGCTCTTGTCCGGACTGATGCCGATTTATAGTGCTAGCCCACAGAGATACCATGCCACAGTTTAACATGAATACCCTACTTAGATATTGTATACTGACTCCGAGCTGTCCAGTCCTTGTTTTAGCCCCTTACTGCAGAGCGCCAAACAGGATAACAAGAAGTACCACATTTTAACATCTTTTGGTATGATGCAGCCGGGGATCAAACCCCGGGCCTTCCGCTCTCCAGGCGGATACTCTACCACTAGACCACTGAGGCAGTCCCTACAACACACTGAATAATGGAATGTGGTTTTCACATTGCTTTCAACAGTATCTTGACATGACGGACTCAAGTGGGAGGAAAGTCTGTGTTACCACAGACATTAACCAAGGCTCACATTCAGGTCAAATCTGGGATTCAAACCCATAATCACAGGATCCTGGCATGGCAAAGGGGTGCTACTCGGAACACCTTTACACCTAGGCAGTATTTTCATTGAAGTGTGACTTAATTGAAGTTGGTTGTCAGTCCATCGATCTGTTTACAACTTTGCATAAGGCATGCAAATACACTCACCAATTTGTTATCCAAAAATCAATCAATCCCTGAGGGAATATTTCTGAAAGGGTCAAGCTGACATTTTAGCATTTGACTTCAACTGTTAACAGACAGACAGGCATCTAGACATCCAGACAGACAGTCAGTATAAAGGCATCATGGACAAAAGTATAAATACCTGTATAGCAGCTCCTAGTGGTTTAAAGATACACAATGAATTATTGAAGCTTACATACGATTTCTTCAAAAGGGGAAACAACTCTTCAAAAGTGAATGAAGTATTTATACGATAAATTCTAGTGAATGTTAAAAACCCTTTTTAAGTAGATAAAAACTGCTCTTATGTTTCATCATGTTTCATAGGTGCTTTGACTGTATTATCTCAGGGGTAGAAATTAACCAAGAAAGCCTACTAGACCAAATAGTGATAACCTTTTGGACCTCTAAGGTAAATATATTCCATGTTATGTCTTGGACTATATAGCAATACCCCCTAAAATGTTTGAAATTCTACTCGCCCTAAAGGATACATTAAAATCAACAAAACTGGTCCGGGTGAGCGAATTGGTGCTAATTTCTATCCTTGCTATCATAACAAGATCCTGTTTATATTAATACTTATGAGCAATATTAATTTGCTGGGTACCTTTTTCTGATTGATAAATATTTTTAAATCTAAATAATACATGGTATTTCCAGTTTGTACATACACAATCAGCTTCCCACACAACCGAGCCCATTCTGAAGAGGTTTATGTTGAGTGATTGAGTGAGTATGGTTTTACGCCGCTTTTAGCAATATTCCAGCAATATCACGGCGGGGGACACCAGAAATGGGCTTCACACATTGTACCCATGTCGGGAATCGAACCCGGGTCTTCGGTGTGACAAGCGAACGCATTCACCACAAGGCTACCCGACCGCCCCAGGTTTATGTTGAAACTGTGCAAAAATATTCATAACTTACTGCTTACATCCAATGACATGTTAGATGATGCTGCAAGATAGTGATTCACGTCCACATACATGCCTGCTCCAACCATTGCCTCCAACAGGTGTGTGTGTGTGTCAGCAGTATGGGCGCTGAGGGCAGGAATACTTGCCCATCTGTCAGCATATCAACTTACTATCACATCATACGTTTGTTGTATTGACAAGGTGGCCATGGCCTACTTGACAGCTAAAGCGTGAACCAATCAGAGTTGGTCATTAATGAGAACATAAACTGTTCCGATAAATAAGAGTTTTCTATGATATTACATGTCATGTGTTTTGTTATGTGACTCAAATATCTTGCTGTGAACACAAATGTGACGGGGTTGTTAGATGCATGGTTTGTAGTATTCCCTTCCAGAAACAAACTCTCATATTTCTCCTTTTCCAAAGACAACCTCACTCTCACATTTCTCAAATGTAGCAACAACCTTTTCATGTTTTTAAGTAATGTCTGTCCTATATTTAGAAGACAAACTCACAATCATGACAGTGAGAATGTCATGGCCAAGATATGTCATATATCACCTAGAATATCATGTCATATTTATTTATACCCGGAACACCACTGCAAGGGCGAGACCGAGTGACAACTGGGGATTTATTACACAACAGATAAACTGTGTCATCGAACTTAGTCCACAAGCTCAAGTTATGGTTTGAGCTTTCAGTTTAATAATCAACCAACCTCCGTCTAAAGTATTGAGCCAAAAAATTGGGGTTAATTCATTAATACTTTCACTGCCACTCTAGTTTTCAGTTGAACTGGAAAACATTCAACTACATGTTGTCTACACCATAAAACAATATTCACACACTCACCCACATATGCAGGATTTTACATGATATACAAATGTGCCTCCAGTACGCTAAAATGTAGGGAATTGACGCAGAAAAATAATATACTGCGTCCCAAAGGATGCACAATAATATTCATAATATACCTTTCAAGCAATTATGGGCATCTGTCATTTCATCCATCAATCATATCAACATGATCACTGATTCATTTCAGGCTCTAAGTAATTATCTAAACGTACAGTACACTACATCATTTCATTACAATACATTACAGGACCCTCATATTGCCTTAAAATTAATTATTGGGGTTCACAATTTTGTAAGTCAAGGTAAAACACTGGATATCTATATTCACTCAACAACAACCAATCAAAGTGTGGCAACGCCTTAATTATAAAATTATTAAATAAAAATTAAATTAATAAAAATTGAATAGAATGAAATGAGAGCATCAAACCACAAACAGTACAATGCAAAAGAAATTGGAAAGAATGCTGTAATCTGATTGGTAGAAATATGCTCTGACATGGGATTGGATCTGGAAAATGTTTTGGAATTTTCATTGAACATGTTGAATAGGAATATTTTTCTTCATTGGTACCTCTTTTTTTACAATGTCAAATTGAAAAACCCAGACTATTCAGCTTGGAAAAATAGTTACCACAATCATGTAAGATAAATATTTGATAAATATCTTTATCATCCAATACTGGCTCCCACAGGAGATATGCTTGGGTGAGATCAAGCGATATCTACACTGTAGATATCTCTGCAATGAAATTGCATCACA